CTTCCTCCCTCTCCCTCCCTCCATTCCCTTTCTTCTTCCCTCTCTCCCTCCCTTCCTTCTCCCCTTCCTCCCTTCCTCCCTCTCCCTCCCTCCTTCTTCGCCCCCATCCCCCTCTTCCTCTCTCTTTTTTCTCTCTTTCACCAAACATTACTTGAGTACTTATTTTCCTATTTGAGTGCCTTTCTGTGCCAGGGCACTATTCTAGGCAGTGGGGATACAACAGTGAACAAAATGGACACCAGTTTTTACCTCATGGAGTTTTCATGTTATTAGGGGAGGGAGGAGGACAAAGAATTAACTGTCACTAAATAAGAGACTGTTCAATAATGGTGAGTTCTATGAAGAAACCCAAAGCAGAGAAAGAGGTAGGCAGGATGTGTAGGAACTGTTAGGATTTTGACTAGGGTGTTCTGGGGAGTGTCACTGAGGAAGGGACATTTAAATACATCACTGAAAGAGAGGAGGGAGGGAACCAAGTGGGTGTCTCGGGAACAGCACTGTTGGAGGAAGCAAGTGCCAGGCCATGGGTGGGACATGCCTCTCCACTACTGCTGCCCTACTCAATTAAATAACCATGTATTGAGCAGGTTCATTCTCTTATTTATTCACTCATGCATTACAGAATATTTATTGGTTGCCCGTTCTGTGCCAGACACTCTTCCCAGTTCTGGAAATAGAGAAGTAAGTCAGGCAAATAAGGTCATAGCCCCCATAGATATTACATCCTAGTTGACAAAGGCAGATAATAAATAAATAGGAAACATGTCAAATAATTATCCGTGCCATGCAGTGTGATGTGATAAGGTGCCAGGGTGGTTATTTGAGCCGTCAGGGACTATGTTGCTGTCTTACGGCAACTCTAGCTGCCATATCAACTGAATCCCATTTCAGTGGCTTCTCAAAGGTAAGCTTCTTTCTTACTTATATAACAGTGTGATATGGGGTCCCTAGTTAGGTAACAAGTCATTTTCCTCCATGTGGTGACTTGGAGACAGGTTTTCTTTCCATATTAAGGCTGTGTCATCCCCTGGGGCCTCAGAGCCCTCCACTTGTGTTAGGGGGAGGGGGAGAGAGGAAAAGCACACCTGTTCCTCAGAAGTCGCAGACTGGAAGGGACTCATAGCCACCTCCACACCCATTCTTTTGACAAGCACTTGGCCACTCTGGGCCCACAAGGCCACACGGGTAACTAAGCAGGGATAGAACACTAACCCTGCCCTGTGGAAGGCGGAGCATGGGCTTTTGTGGAACAGGTAGCCATTCTGTCTGCTACTTTCTCTGTGGAGATCTCATGAACACGAAGGTAGGCAGCCATGTGGAAACCAGGAGAAAGAACATTCCAGGTAAAGAAAGCAGCTCAGGTCATACAGCTCCTCAGCTGGAAAGCAAGTGGAATGACGTAGAAAGGGAAAGAGAGCCGGTGTGGCTGGGCGGCGATGGACTCCAGGAGGGGAAGGTAGGGCCACTTTGGGTTTTGCAGGCGATAACATTAGGTTTGGATTCCATTAAGTGCAGTGGGAGGCCAGTGGAGGGTTTTAAGCAGGGCAATGACATGATTCTATTGATATTTTTAAAAGACCAAAATCAATCTGATGTGTGGAAAATGGGTGTAATGGGACAAGCATGAGGCAGAGACCGGTGCTAGAGGCTACTGTAATAGTCCAAGCCAGAGTTGACAGTGGCTCAGAGAGGACAATAGCAGTGGAGGTGAAGGGTTTTGAGTGCATTGAGGATTTGCTGATGAATTGAATGTGTGGGTTGGAGGAAAGGGAGGAATTGAGAACTCCTAGCTTTTGGCTTTAGGAAGCTACATGGGTGGTGAAGGCTGTTGACTGAGATGGGCCAGCATTGGTGGGGCGGTGGAGGGGAGGCAGGTTTTGAGGGAAATGGAATTCTGCTTTGGGCACGTGATATTTAAGTTGCCAGGTGTGTGCCAACGCATAATCACAAACGTGTGGGACCTGTATTATGCCTGACTATGCTAGGAGCAGCTGGGGAGTCTGACCACCTGCGTTCAAACCTTGTCTCACTAATTAGCCGTGTGAACCTAGGCAAGTATTTTAACCCTCTGAGGCTCAGTTTTCCTATTTGTAAAATGTGAATAATAATAATTATTTTTAAAAGTGCCTGACAGATGGTTGACAAGATTAAGATAAAGTATGAAAGACCAAGGCACTTAGTAAGTATTGGTATGTAGTAAGCATTGATAAATCTTAGCTATTACTGTTGTTAGGCACCTGCTGTGTATTTCCACGTTTGTATGCATCTGACTTTGCTTGCTTTTGGGAATTCATCTCTTGTCGTGCAGGGACATGTACCCATGTGTATGTGGGTGCCCAGGGTGAGTTTTGATGGACATATCTTATCTCTGTACAAGGGTACAGGGATTTGAGTTTCTTTCTGTGCGTGTGGTAGGTGTCTGTGAATAAACAGAGGGAAGAACACGTGTGCATGAGGTCTTTATAGTTGCATTTCTCAGGGCATATAAAATGGATAAAGTCAAAATCAGTAGAAGCAGGTGTGACGGTGTCTACGTAGCGACTAATCCTATTCTGGCACATCCCAAAGGTGTTCAGTCTGGCCAGGCTGATGATGTAAACTCTGTGCTACACCCTCAATTACAATTTTATTCCCAAAGAGAATTGTTATTTTAATGAATGTGTTTTTGGGTGCAAAGAACTCCTAATAAAAAGTTGTTGTCTTTCAAAAAAACAGATTTTTAGGCTGACAACAGTACAATAAGCTCAGGAGCAGCCTATGAATACTCGACACTTTTTCTAACCCTGAGAGAACACCCCTCCTCATTAACAAGAGGAAGGGCTGTTCCTGGACTTGGCCCACAGTTCTGGCTCTGTCACTTACTAGCTGTGTGATCTTGGGCAGTTTACTTAAGCTCTCTGTTCCTCAATTTCTCATCTGTAAAATGAGGATGGGGTTCATAGTACTAACCTCATAAGGCTGTGTGAGAATTAAAACATAATACAAAATTTAAAAAAAAAACTACGTTCAAAAAACCCAAAAAACATAATACAAAATACAAGTAAGGAATTTAAAGTAGTACATGGCACACAGCTGCGATTATTATTGTTGTTATTATTTTTGTTGTTATTATTGTTATTCCTTTCTGAGCTAGAGAAATAAGCAGGGTGTGGGGGCTGCTAGGGGAAACAGACATTCTTGTTCATTAGCTGAGTAGGGAGAGGAATGATTGCAAAACAAGAGAGTTTGCAGCTGTCGCCTCTGCAGCCCAGACAGCCTGCAGGTGAACGGAGAAGGCTGGCCCCAGAGTCATTTATTGTGGCTGCCTTTGCTGAGACCTGGGTTCACCTGGGTGAGGTGGATGTGGGCAGGAGGGGAAGAGCTGCTGCTGTGAACACAGCCAGCCTGAGAGGCCAGGTGCTTGGAGCAGATTCAGCCTCTTTGCAGAGAGCATTTTTCTGCAGCCCGCCTCAGCTGTCTGAAGTTGCAGATCTTGTGTGGGCTGTGAGTCAGTGACCTTTTCTATCTGGGGCACCTAATCATACCCAGTGACACTCATTTTTCTGCTCTTCTGTCCTCAATCCCTGCTTGCCAGGATAAAGGGATCTTGTAGATGGGAACTGCCTATAGCCAGTTCTACTGACTCCCACACCCTTTGCCTGCCCTGCAGGCAACTGGTGTCACAGAAGACATGCTTCACGGAAGGTCAGAGTAGTCACTGACTTTTTTCTTTCGTTTTTGTCTATTGAGACAGGGTCTTGCTCTGTTATCCAGGCTAGAGTGCAGTGGTGTGATCACGGCTTACCACAGCCTTGACCTCCTGGGCCCAAGTGATCTTCCCACCTCAGCCCTCCTGGTAGCTGGAACCTCAGGAGTGTGTGACCATGCCTGGCTAATTTTTAAATTTTTTGTAGAGACAGGGTCTTGCCATATTGCCCAGGCTGGTCTTGAACTCCTGGGTTCAAGCAATCCTCCAACCTCAGCTTCCCAAATTGCTGGGATTACAGGTGTGAGCCACCATGCTCAGCATGGTCACTGATTTTCTTATTTGCATGTTTCCTCACCATGTGACCCCATGGAACCTGGGGGCAGGTTTGAATAAATTCCATTTATTGAAGGCTTTCTATGTAGCAGTGCTAAGGGCTTTATCAGCGTCTCATTTAATTCTCTCAGTGGTCCACCCATAGAATTATCATCCCACATAGGAAGAATGGGGTTCAGAATGTCAGAGCCACACAGTTACGCAAGGGCATGGCAGGGAGTGCAAAGTCGGGTCTCTGTTGGGATCAACGCCCCTAGTCCTCATCACTACACTGCCATTCCTCCTTGAGCCAGCAGAGGAAAATTTCCCTCCTGTGGATGCTTTTCATCAGCCTCCTCTCCCAGCATCGGGAAAGTCTCTGCTCAAGTTGGTGATGTGGAATGGACAGAAATCCTTGGCGGAGCTTGCCAAGCTTTTC